ATGGGCCTTTGCGGTACTCCAGGAGTGGCCAGGATTAGTCTAGAACTTTGGGTAAGGGGATGAAAATATCAGAGCATCCCTTTTGGGTGGAAGATGTGCTGATGGGGCAATAAAAACAAGAGTGTGACGAGCGAGGCTTTTCCTGCCCCCACCCCTGCCCCCCGCACGGTTCTCCCCTGCCTGCCTGCGTCCCTCCTCCGCCATGTCTGGTCTGCTCTCCTTCAAGTCTCAAGGGCCCTGTCGCCGGCCAGAGCGCAGCTGCTGCCGGTTCAGATCCAGAGCTCACTCTCGCCGGCTGAGCGGCTGTGGGCCTGTTCCTCGGGTGATGCTAATGAGACTATCTATCTCCCAGGGCTACGTCCGGATCCAATAAATTAATAACAATAAGAGGCGCAGAAAACTGCCTGGCACACAGTGAGGGCATCCACATCAGCTAGTTAATGCTATTCCCCTGTAGAGGTAGTGCAGGCAGGAGATCATAATGAGATCAAATATATGTCGTGATGATCAAATGCTGCTCTTGAAAGGATACCCACAGCTCCTGGGTGGTCTCGGGAGTGAAGGAAGCTCACCTGGGAAACTAGGTGAGCTGTGCTGGGGCTTGGCCTGGGAGATAGTTAACTTCATGTTGCAACTTACAGGAAGATGGCTTTGCTGGATGACCTTGGGCAACCCAGGTACTCTCCCTGGGCCATAGTTCTTTCAGCGGCTAAAAAAGAGGGAGAGAGAGGAAAAGGGTAAAACAATAATGCTGTCTTATTTCACAGAGCAATTTGCTTCCTAAGGAAGGCTGGAGGGTTGAAATAATGTCAGGTGATGTTTTAAGTGGAGGTTGGATGGAGTCACTTATCTGTTTATCTTTAAAACCCCTGAGGGTGCCCTGGCCGGTTGCTCAGTGGTTAGAGCATCGGCCCATGGACCGGGGAGTCCCGGGTTCGATTCCCGCTAAGGACACGTACCTCGGTTGCAGTTTGTCCCTGGCCCCGGTTGGGGTCATGTGGGTGGCGACCAGTGGATGTGTCTCTCTCACGTCGATGTTTCTCTCTCTCTCTTCCTCACTCTCTCTCTCCCGCTCTATCTGAAGATAAATGCAAAAGTGTCCTCGGGTGAGGATTAAAAAAAATAAAATAAATAAAAATAAAACTCCTGAGGGTTTGCTGCTAGATGACACAGAAATGAACTCACTGGGGTTATGATTCCAATGAACATAAGTTAATGTCAGTTAAAAATAGAAAGTGTTTTGTGGAAATCGTGGTTGATCATCTTCTTTATCACTTCTCTAATGACAACCTTTCTGAGACTCAGAACCCCGGCCTGTCTCTTCCCTACAGCTCGGACAACATTGCTTTTGAAACGTATTGGACTACAGGGTGGACCGAAGGGCTATTTCTCCTTTGTGGAGATTTTTTTTTAAATTAAGTTACATTTAAATATATACAAATACACACACACATAACTTTATTTTAAAGACTTAATTTTTTCAGAGCAGCTCTAGGTTCGCAGCAAAGTTGAGGGAAAGGTGCAGAGATTTCCCACACACCCCTGTTCCCACACACGCCAACGACCCCGCCAGAGAGGGACATTCGTTACCACTGATGAGCCTACACTGACACATCACGGTCACCCCAAACCCATGGTTTACATCGCAGTTTGCTCTTGGTGATGTACATTCTATGGATTTATTCAAATGTATAATAACATGTATCCACCATTATAACATCAGAGTATTTCTACTGCCCTAAAAATCCTCTGTGCTCTGCCTGTTCATCCCTCCCTCCGACCCCTTAAAACCACCCATCTTTTCATCGCCTTCATAGTTGTGCTTTTTCCAGAATGTCAATAGTTGAGATCACAGTACGTGACCTTTACTGATTGGCTTCTTTCACCCACAAATATGCACTTGAGGTTTCCTCCATGTCTTTTCATGGTGTGAGAGCTTATTTCTTTTTAGTGCTAAGTTATATTTCATTGCCTGGATGTACCACAGTTTATCTATTTACCTCCTGAAGGACACCTTGGTTACTTCCAAGTTTTGGCAATAATGAATAAAACTATAAGTATCTGCATGCAGGTTTTTGTGTGCATGTGCGTTTTCAACATCTCTAGTTAAATACCAAGGAGCACAATTGCGGGATCACATGGTGAGGACCCGTTTAATGTTGTAAGAAACCACCAAACTCTTCCAAAGTAGCCGAACCATGCTGCATTCCCACCAACAGTGAGCGAGAGCTCCTGTTCGCTTCCTCGCCAGGACGGCGTGTCGCCGGTGTTCCCGAGTCTGGCCTTTCTAACAGTGCCGTCATGTTGTTTTAATAGGCTTATTTGCCACCTGCTTATCTTCTTCAGCCAGGTGTCTGCTAAGGTCTTCAGCCCATTTTTTAATTGGGTTGTTTGTTTTCCTATTGTTGAGTTTCAAGGGTTCTTTGTATATTTTAGACAACAGTCCTTTTCAGATGTGTCTTTTGCAAATGCTTTCTCCCAGTCTATGACTTGTGTTCTCATTCTCTTGACAGTGTCTTAGTCATAGCAGAAGTTTTTATGTTTAATAAAGTTCAGCTTATCTGTGATCTCTTTCATGGATTGTGCCTTTGGCGTATGTCTGAAAAACCATCACCATACAGTGGGTCGACTATTTTAAAAGGTCTTTTATTTTAAAAACAACCATAAAAATATGCAGTCGGGGCCGCCCTGGCCAGCTGGAGAGGAAACACAGGGGGCAATTGCTCATCTCCCTGGCATCAGTCTGTCACTTCCCGAGAAGCCCGGATGTCCGTGTGGCCCCCGGCTCTGTGCCGAAGCCACCGTGCTTTAGGAAGAGACCGCATGATCCAGGCAAAACCAACCTATCAGCCTGAGCCTTGGCCAAGGTGACTGGTTCGGAGTTGGGCAAATGACCTTAGCCAGTCCAAGCAAAGTAGACCGACCTCTAACTTAGAAATGGAAGGCAAAGGTGTACTCTGCCCTCCGCAGTCAGAAGGGTGGATGGATGGGAGGAAGGGAGTGGGTGCCCCATGTTCGCTGCCCAGGGGGTAGCCGTCCTGCAAACAAGGCGCACAGACGAGATCGGTGCGGAGAAAATGTCAGAAAGCAGAGCGGGGCCCTAATAAGAGTCAGACCCTCTGGAACACATTGTGCCTGAGGACTGTTCTCAATCTGGACTTCTGGGTTACATGATCCAATAAATTCACCCTATCGGTTGGGGTCCAGTCATGAAAAGAGAAACCACAGTAGATATTTCAAAACACGGGGACTTAAAAGAATTTGTTACACAAGTAAGAAATCAAAAAGAGGATGCTGAGGTAATCCAGGGACTAATAACTCCCCAGGCAAACAGAAAAAGGGGGAGAGGGTGGTTACCAGAGTTCAGGACCTCGGAGGGGGGTCTCCTGAGACCGGTGCAGGGTTCCTGAGAGATTGCATCGCTTGTGTACAGACCCCTGGGGAGGGTGCAAAATTTCATGGGTGCTCACAGCCCCACGGAGGTTGCTCTGATGACCTGTGCACAAGGACGCATGTGTGGCTGGTCCCCCACCTTCAAGGGACCACTGCTGATGGCAGGCTCCAGTCCCTCTGCAGGGCACAGTGCGGGTGTGCTGAGGATGCCAAGAGTAGAAGTAGAGCTCACTGTTCACTCCCGTTGGAGAGAGACTACCAAGATGAAGTCCTTTTTTCTTCTCCTGCTTCCCAATCTCCCTCTAGTGCCTTCTATTGGCAGAGCCTCACAGAAAGCCAGCTGGCAAGAGGGTGTGAGATGAGGCTGGCAGAGGACCATCCCGGCATCACAGAGCAAAGGGGTGAGCTGAGAGCTGAGAGATGAGAGATAAAGCGCAGGCAGATGGTATAGCCGATTGGAATTGGGCTTTCTGTTTCTTACATCTGACTGATAGACCTGATTAACATAATTGCCGTAATTATAGCCTCATCCCTTTTTTCCTTGGGCTATAATCTGGAAACCATTTTCATAATCTTAAATTCTATTGTTTACTTTTAAGTCCTCTGCTGATTGCTGGGGTATTCTCCTATTTTCTCTGAGGGGAAGACCAAGCATGAGGAGGCCAGATACCAGGTCCACTCCGAGGTGGCCACTCCCCTTTTGGAGAAGCTCCTAGTGGGTGGAAAAGTTGGGATCTATGGCAAGAAGAAAATCTGAGGCTTCTTTTGGGGTGGGAGTTGGACTAGGATGTTTTTGGCCAGAAGAAACAGAAACCCTGCCTTAACTGGCTTACGCAATAAGAAAATGTATTATCTCACACAGCTGGAACTCGGGGGGTAGGCAGCTTCTAGGAAGGTTAATCAGCTCAATTGTATTATCAAGGACACAGGCAAGTTGTTTCTGTCTTTTCTCTCTGGCTGGGTCTTCAGCTAATGCCCGGCATGGTTACAATGGCTGCCTTGGTTCCAACCATCAAACCCAGATCCATCTAGTAGAAGAAGAGCCCTATCTTTTTTGTGAGTCTCTTTTTCAGATCAAGGGTACCTTCACCCGAAGCCCCCCACTGAAGTTCCCCTCACTGGCTGGAACAGGATCTGATGCCCGTACTTAAACCCATTACCGGCAAGGATACTGGGAATTCCCACTGTGATTGGCTCAGACCAACCAGGATTCGCTCCTGAGCTGGGGATATGGTGTCCATATGAGTTGGGATTTAGTGGTCTTGAGAGCTAGCACCATCACAAAGTAGTTATCCCTATCAATATGCAGTTGGATTTGCTTCAGGGTTTGACCTTCTGCAGTTGTGAGAGCTGGTTACACCATCTCACAGGCTGGTTGTCTTTGCGTTTGATGCTGCAGCTTCCAAGTCCACAGGGAAGGAGGTGGAGAAGGGAAAATGGGCATAAAGTAGGAATGAGCAAGGGCAAGCTGGACCCCACAAGGATGGACTGGAACGCAGGTCGGTTCTCACAACCCCTGACCTCCACATCCTGCAGGAGAAGCTGGTGCCCTCTGTCACGGAGAGCGGAGACCTCCATGGCACCCGAGAGCTCAGAGGCAGAGCCAGGCAAAGTTGAAGAGTTGCAGGCTTGGCCACTTCTTCTTGACAATGAGGTGAGCATGGTAACCTGCCCAACCTTCGGTGCTTGACATCTCTCCAAATGCAAACATGCGGGAGGGGGTTATGGGAAACAAACTTCAGCCTAGCCCAGCCAACACACTACAAAGCCACCATAGTGACCATCCCTCAGGAAGGACTTGGACAAAGCTGGGATGCTGTGAGCCAGTGGTCCTCAACCTTCCTAGTGCCGCAACCTTTTAATACAGTTCCTCATGTTGTGGTAACCCCCACCCATAAGATTATTTTTGTTGCTACTTCATAACTGTAATTTTGCTACTGTTATGTTTCAGGGGACCCCTGTGAAAGGGTCGTTTGACCCCCAAAGGGGTCGCGACCCATGGTGTAAGCAAAGAAAAAGCAGGGACAGATCTGGGGGAGGCAGACCAAAGGGTCTGTGCTCCCTGGGAAGTTTTTCAGCTGCCTTGTGCTAGGATTGCATGGAGAGAGAGAGAGAGAGAGAGAGAGAGAGAGAGAGAGAGAGAGAGAGAGAAAGTAAAGTATATGGGAACATGGAGTGTAACAACTCTCACTCTTCCTCCGGGCTTATCAGGCGCTGGCAGAAAACACTGAAGAACACAGTCATGCCTTTAGCATCTAGTGGAGCGCCTACCCTACTTCTGAGTCACCACCACAAGGTTTGTTCACTTCCCCTGCCTGGAACCCCCTCTCCACTTCCTGTTCTCATTCAGCCAGCGCACATTGAGCACCTACTGTGTGCAGAGTGCAGGGAATACAAGATGAGAAGAAAACGAACCCGAGTTCCCGCTCTAGGGGGAACCTCCTTCCTCTGCCCGAAATACCCCTCCTTCCAGAAACCTTCCCAAGCTCTCCAGCAAAATCCCACAGCCCCTGCGTGAGTCTCCGCACGGCTGCAAGTGATTATCTGCAAGTATGTGTGTATATGGACATGTCATTTTTGTTTTTAATGAATGCTTTATTTTTGTTGGTCCCATCTTCCCCCTGGAGCGCAGGAGAACTTTTGAAGGTCGGTTTCTGTTTCCTTTGCTGCTCATAACGACGTGCCATGTGCAGGGCGGCTGTGCTCAGAAGTGGGGACGCCAGCCAGGGTTTCCCCAGCAACACGCAGCCTTTCCATGCATCTTGGAAGGGGCAGAATGGGTTCCTCACACCCACTCTGTGTGGTCCTTGACAGCCCTATTGTTATCGGTCATATTGTCACTAGTCCCATCATCATCAGTCCTATTATTGTCCCGTCCTACTGAGAGGAACCAGGCTCAGAGTGGTTGTGTGACTTATCTAAGGGCTCCCAGCTAGAGAGTCTCAGAAGCCGAGTTCCGTCCAGCTCATGCGCCTGCCTGCTGGGTCCCACTGCTCCCAGGCTGTGGTGTTGGTGTGAATGCAGGTGACTGGCGGCTTGTTCTGTGTTGGGCACTGGGCTAAGGCTTTCCACACCCTGCTGGTAGGTGCTACTACTATTCCCACTTTTGGTGGGGAAACTGAGGCTTAGCGGTTTGTGTCACTTCTGGTGGCAGAGCCAGAGCTCAAATCTAGGTTCTCTAATACCAAAATGCTATGAACAGCTACGCCATCCTGCCATGACGGATCGAAAATGATGAGTCACTGTTACCCTTCACTGTCCCACACCTACAGAGCTGGGCCCTGGGGTTAGACCAGGCTTTCAGGCCAGCTCTGTGGCCTCGGGCAAACTATGTCCTCTCTCGGAGCCCGTCCTTCCTCTGTATTATAAACATTAAACGAACAAAGAAAAAACAGCACCAACCTCACAGGCTTGTCTGAGGATTAAACGACAGAAATCACCTGCGCGGTGCACACATTCCAGGGTCCAGTGTGAGGCGAGTGACCAGTAAATGTTAGCTTTTGTTCCTATCACGGTGATCATTTCTGTCACTGGCCTCATCCAATCAGTCTGGGCAGCAGCTCCCCTAGCAAAGCCTTCTCTGTTTGCACCGCGAGGCCTGAATTCCGGGGAGCCTAGGAATCCCCCAGAAGCCTGTAGAGGAGCCCTCCCTGCAGCTGCCCAGGAAAGCCCGTGCACGCAGCCAAGCTGCAAAACCCGGGCCTTACTGATGTCCTGTCTTCGCGGCCCGCTCAGCTGCTCCACACATGTGCCGTAAATAGGAGTCATTAGCAGTGAGCCCCATAAACACTCCCTGCGAACCCTGCTGAGCCGCGTGTGCTGGCTGTGTGGCAACCCCTCCGCCAGCATCAGCCCAGAAACAAAGCAGCTATCAGTGTGCGTACACACCAGCATCCCCTAACAGAGCCTTCCATGGGTCACGAGGGGACAGCTTCTCCAGGCTGCTCGGACAAACTGCTTTCTCTCATCTCCCTGCAAGGAGCCAGTTAGTTCAGACGAACAGTCGCAGGATTTGGGCTCAGACGTCCCCACAAGGACGTTTGAAAATGATGATATTCTTCGCCTTTAAGGAAACTTCTTTATTCGGGTGCCCACACCCCAGGTTAATCAAGGGAGCAGATTCGCTGAAAGGGACCGACGGCCTTGGGTTTGCAAAGCTGAAACAACTCCGCTGCACACACACACCTCATGCTTTCGCGTGGCTGCCGAGGGAAGCTCAAGAGCCAGGGGCCGTATCGACAGTCTTGCTCACTCTCATGGGCTCTGGTGGAGCCTGAGGTGACAAAAGCCACACCATACATGAAGCTTATACTGATCGGAGTGAGGGGAGGGACGGTGGAAGCTGGAGGAAGCTGGGTGTCTCAATGAGAGGGTGCAGAAGGTGGTGGGTCAGAGAACAAGTTCATCCCCTGGTGCAGCCGTGTTGACCAGCTCTCTCCTAAGAAGATGGAATGGATGTATCTAACAAGTGGCTCCTTCGGTGGGTATAATTACGGCCACGGAAGCTCTGGAGAGCAAGTACATCTGTCCCTCAGAGTCTCTGTTTTGCAAAATGGAGATAAATATAGAAGATCAGATGTCAGCGGAAGCAGGGTCTCTGGGCTCGGGTTATCCTTGAGGTTGGCACAAAGAGACAGTTACTGTCCTGCCCTCTCCTGGGTGCCCACGAGGGTGTTTCCCGGGGGAAAGCCCACGTGTGGAGTGCAGTGAGGGGCCTTGGGGAACCACAGCTTAGCAGGAAGCCGGCCCCACGCTCCAGGCCACTGAGGCCAACTCCCGATTTCTCCCTGCCCTCTGCCAGCCGGAGTGGGAAGGAGAGAGGGAATCCGAAGTCAGAGGGGCAGAAAGAGGAAGAGAAAGAGAGAGGGCGAGGAGAAGAAGGAACAGAGAGGAGGCAGTGGGCCAGCTGGGGAGAGGAAGAGGTGGGCAGCATCAGGCTGGCAGGACAGCCCAGCCGGCAGCTTCCTCAGCAGCAGAGCCATCGGGCCCTGGGTCCAGTCCAGCCCCTGAGGGCGGGCTGGGGGAGGGGCACTGCTGATTCTCCCAGTGCTCACGCGAGATTTCAGGTTACTTCCGTGGCCATTGCTGGGCCACTGAGCACCAGCCCCATGAGAGCATCCCAGAGCCCCAGGCAGACACCTCTAACTGAGGCGGGTCGCTGTCCCCCAGGAGCTGGTCACTGGGTCTGAAAGACATGGGGGCATGGCAGCCTTCAGAGGACAGTGTCTATCCCAGGGTTCCAGGGGCTGGCAAAGGCCCCTCATTCTTCCTTTTCTGCTCATCCTCCGTGTCTTCAATCCCCTAGGGAAACCAATGCTCTCTTTCTCTATCTCAGTCCTTTGTCAAAATGCCTCTTCTCCATCTCTTCCTAGGAGCCTTTTCGGTGGTGAGGGAGGGAGGCAGGTGCTACAGAGAGAGAAATGGTCATGGTGGGGGAGGGGGGAACCATCATCACTTTGTCAACGTTGGAGCCAAAAAAGCTAATGACAGAGATGTCAGACTTGCAGCCCTACTTGGACTCACATATTGGGGACAGGTAGGTCCCAGCAACTGGGATTAGACCAGTAACCAACGAAGGCCCAGGTCCCAGTCCTGAGTCCTGTCGCTGGGCCCGCCCAGTGCTTCCTCCGGCTGCCCCTTGAGCTACACCAGGACCACACTGGGCTTCAGGAACCCCAATCCCTCTCCTTCCTCCCGCAGCCCGGCCATATTCAGAAAGCCTCCTAGTCTGACAATGACCCAAACCAGAATGCTGTCTGTCTCTGCCGAAGGCACTCCTTATAAGGCCTTCGTCCCCTTTAAAGAACAGTCTGCATTTCCCTGCCCTGGATGACACCCCACTCCAGATTTTGCGCAGGAACCTCCTTTGCAAATTCTTCGCAGGGGATAGGACAGCGCTGTCGCCCCCCCCCCCCCCCCCGCGCCACTGCCCTGAGATTTCAAGCTGCGATGCCCCTAGAAGGACCCCCCCCCCCACTCCCCTGAGATTTCAAGCTGCGATGCCCCTAGAAGGACGAGTGGCTCTCCCTGCACCTTCAGGACTCTGCTCCCTCCCTGCCCTGCTGCCCTCGCCCTGCCCCCGCCAATGTCAGTAACTTCGGAAACAAACCTAAGGGCTGTGGGGAAGCAGCCTGAACGTGCAGATGGAACCCCCCTCCCTGCACCCTAACTGCGAACCCTGACATTTCAATAGTCTGTTTCATTTCCTTCATCACGCCGCGCACTCCCCCCGCTTTCTGTTTTGTTTATTACCCCTTTAAATTACCTACCCTCTTAAGAGAGAGAAAGAAAGTTTGACATGGAGAACAAAGAAAGTTAAGGCCTTTTAAAGTACTTTTATGGAGGCTTTTCATGAACTTTACAAACGGAGTAAAAACAAGTGTGAAAGGGTTTTCAAGGAAGATACATGCTTTTGCAATTCGCTGGCCGCTTTCCCTGGTGTTCCAGAAAAGCGGCCTCCCCATTACTCACCGGGGAGGCACGCAGGCGGGAGGAAGGGGCTCCTGAATGAAAACAGGCCTCCCCCCCCCCACCCCCTCCGTGTGCAAACAGCACTTAGTAATCAAATAGAAAAAACACACAAATGAAATTAAAACGTTTTCCAAATGGGCTGCAGCCCCGAGGCCAGACTTCATGGGGCCATGCCAGCGAATTTGTATCTTTGCCTTCATTGGGCTCCAGGCAAAGCCAGATCCTGGTGTCAACAGGAAGGCAGGACACAGCCCGCAGAGGCACAGAGGCCATGGGGAATGGCACCCCAGCCTTTGCGACCTCCTCTCCTGGGACTCAGTGTAGCACTGGGCGCAGACCCCTCCCGTGTGCAGAGGACCCTCCCTTGATTCTGTCTTCACTGGGTTACTCACTCACTCATTGGCTCACTGAGTGCCACCAGCATGTGGGCTAGTTATCTTTTCTCCAAAATTAAAACAAGAATGGAAAAGAAAAACAAAAGCCAAAATCTTCTCTTGACCCCACTTCCCCTTTGGCTGTGACCCCATCTCCCTCCTCCTGTTTCAGTTGTCTGTACTCAGGACATCCAATTATGCCCTTTCTCATTTCTCCTGCACCCCATCTGGTCAGGCCTTTGCCCACCTTGCTCCAGCAAAACTGCTCTGCCGAGGTCAAGGTCAGCTGTCCCTCAGCGTCAGGTCTAGGCCTCATCTCTGACCCCCCAGCAGCAGGGGACCAGCACCTCCTTGCAGAGACCTTGCCCCACATGGCTCCCTCTGGGTTCTCCTCCTCCGCACTGGCTGGTCCTTCCTTTCTCCTGGCCTCTTGCCTCAGAGCGCCCCAGTGTGCACTCCTTGGACCTTCTCTTTATACTCATTCCCCTGGTGATCTCATTCAGTCTTATGGCTTTGTAATCATCTAATAGGCTGATGACTCCCAAATTTTTATCTCCTTTCCTAGCTCCTCCCCTGAATTTCAGACTTGTGTATCCAACTGCCTACTTAGCATCTCCACTTGGATGTCAAATAGATAGTTCCTACCTAACATGTTGAAAATTGAGTCAAGTCCAAAGTCTTTACAATGATCCTAACACATTCTACTTTCCTCACAACTCATTGACAAACTCATTGACAAGTCCAGGCAGGGTCCCCCACGGGGGCCTTTGCGCTGACTGTTCCGCTCCTTGGAAGGTTCTTCTTCCAGACATCCGCACAACTAACTTTAGATTTTTAATTATTTTTCTGAGCCAGGATCCAATCCAATGCATTGTTGAGGTTGAATCTCTTTAGCCTCTTTTAATCTAAGACTTCCTCACATGTTCAAAAAATAATATTGATTTTTTTTTTTTTTAAAGAAACCAACCTGATTGTC